AGAGGCGTAACAAGTTATTTCCTTGAACTAGTGGGCCAGTGCAGCATAATACACTTTAGAGCAGTGATGGCGAACCTTTTTGAGCCCGAGTGCCCAAACCGTAATACATGCCAATTTTTTTTCCCTCAAAGTGCCAAAACGGCATTTAAACCTGAATACTGAGGTTTAAGTTTCGAAAAAACAACTCATACAGTTGTCCGAACTAATTAACATCTCTGTGTGTGTATTTAGCAGTCTGTCTGTGTACTTAGCAGTCTGTCTGTATTTAGCAGACTGCTGAGTACACAGTCTGCTGAATACACACACAGACTGCTAAATACACACACACAGACTGCTAAATACACACACACACACAGACTGCTACACACACACAGACTGCTACACACACACAGACAGACTGCTGAGTGTACACACACAGACACTGAGTGTACACTGCTGAGTGTACACACACAGACAGACTGCTGAGTGTACACACACACACAGACTGCTGAGTGTGCACACACAGACTGCTGAGTGTGCACACACAGACAGACTGCTGAGTGTGCACACACAGACAGACTGCTGAGTGTGCACACACAGACAGACTGCTGAGTGTGCACACACAGACAGACTGCTGAGTGTACACACACAGACAGACTGCTGAGTGTACACACACAGACAGACTGCTGAGTGTACACACACAGACAGACTGTTGAGTGTACACACACAGACAGACTGCTGAGTGTACACACACACAGACAGACTGCTGAGTGTACACACACAGACAGACTGCTGAGTGTACACACACTGCATTGAGGGGTACATTGTATGTGTTTGTGTGTGTGTGTGTGTGTGTGTGTGGGTGGGGTGATGTGATGTGTGGGTAGGGTGATGTGTGGGTGTCTTTGTGTGGGGTGATATGTGTAGGGCAGGGGTGCTGTGTGTATGTTGTCCCCCCTCACCCCCCGTCCCACACTCAGTTTTCTTCCCCCTATACCTCCCTCAGTTCCCCCCCATCTCTCCCTCAGTTTCCGTCCCATCTCTCCCACTCAGTTCCCCCTCCATATCTCTCCCACTCAGTTCCCCCCCCATATCTCTCCCACTCCAGTTTCCCCATATCCTCTCCCTCAGGTTTCCCCATATCTCTCCCTCGGTTCCCCCATGTCTACTCCCTCAGTTCCCCCCATGTCTCTCCCTCAGTTCCCCATCTCTCTCCCACTCAGTTTAGCCCCATCTCTCCTCAGTTTCCCCCCATCTCTCTCCTCAGGACACCCCCATGCTTTCTCCTCTCAGGTCCCCATAGCTCTCCCTCCGGGGTTCCCCGCCGGCTCTCCCTCAGTTCCCCACTTGGCTCTCCCTCAGTCCCCCATGGCTCTCCTCAGTCCCCCATGGCTCTCCCTCAGTTCCCCCATAGCTCTCCTCGGTTCCCATGGCTCTCCCTCAGTTCCCCCCCATCTCTCTCCCACTCAGGTCCCCCCTCCTTGAGCTCCTACCTTGTAGCGTGGCCGAGCGCACCGCGGTACAGGAACTTATGTTTCCTGTACCCGGCGGACAGGAAGTGCTCGCTCTGTGAGCACTTCATTTCCGGCCGCCCGGGTACAGGAAACATAAGTTCCTGTACCGCGGTGCGCTGGGCCACGCTACACAGAGTGCCTGGCAGGAGGGAGCGCTGTGCTCTATGCGCTCACCTCCTGCCGGTCACTCCGGCTTTGCGCCCGCCGGGCCGGTGCACCCTAAGGCGGCCACTTGTGCCGCCTTATGGATGCGCCGGCGGAGCGCACCCTCCCTCCCTCCGGCGACCTATGGCCACGTGCCCACAGAGTGGGCTCTGCGTGCCACCTGTGGCACGCGTGCCATAGGTTCGCCACCACTGGTCTAGAATGTCATATGTTAACGGATTTGCAACAAGTCTGACAAAGGTAAACTTATATTATCCGATAATGCTTGTATTTTACACTGGTGACAAGCTAAGGGACCTATTGTGAATAATTTAAACACTGCTCCATAGGTAGGTCAAACAAATAGACAAAGTTTTAAAATGGCCGACCCAACCCCAGTGTACATGGCCAGCCCATTCACAGTGTAACTGGCAACAACCATAGCCATCCAGTCCACAAGCTCCACGAACTTACAGAGGGTGCTGCTGA